GTGTAGTGTTTGCCCTAACCATACCGCATACGGTAAAATGGAGCAAGAGCAAGATTCTTTAGATTCTGCTAGCTTCTTTCGTTTTATGCAAAAACGCGTTGAACTAGCCTAATTTTATTGATTTTTTAACTAAACTGTATAATTTCAAAATATTGGACAACCATAACCTTATAATTTTTTGCTTTAATGACATCCGTTAGACTCAATTTTAACATATAACTTTCCTGTAACTCTTTATCACGCAATTCCATTTCCATGTAATCCATTTTAAAAGCTAAGTATAATGAATACTACTGTGGTCATTCATTTCGAAGTATCAGCCAACAATGTTCATTTTAGTCTTAGAACATATATAAATGGAAGGGGCATAGGGCGCTGAACGTGAAGCCACATCTGTGCGAGAGAGAAAGGTAGTAAGGAATAAATGTTCGTAATGCGCATGCGCAGCACCGTCATTGTGTGAATTGTGCAGTTGGTTTAGTGTTTTTACACATTCGTACATTACACAGATGTGTAAAACGTGATGCTGCGCATGCGCATTGGGAACATTTATACCTTACTACCTTTCTCTCTCGCACAGATGTTTGCATCAGCGCGAGTCATGGGAAGTATAGGCAATGCCCGTTCCATTTATATATGTTCTAAGAGATTTTAGTATTCACTACACTATCGCTGTTCATGGAGCACACGAACGCTAAGTAATGCTACGCTATCAACAATGACTATGTTTCGATCGAGGGTTCGAATTGGGTTAGAGTCGAGTCAGAGCCGAGTTAGCGTGAGCGCTCGTACGATGGAAACACTTCGAACCCTACCCAATAAAATTTTAAGGTAGGGTCCAAATGTGGTTCGATGGAAACGGTAAAAATCGAGGTTACTCGTACTCATAGTTGCCAACATCTGAATCCAAACTGCTAATCGTGCATATCAAATGTATTGTATATTTTCGCAGGTTTCGTTTGTATATTTGTTTTCAATGGACAAAAATGAAGAAAGAAAGAAGCCGGCCACTTGGGATGGCAACGAAACAATGCTTTTTAGCAACTATAAAAGAGTTGCAAGTAATAACATTGATGGACGGAAAGAAATTCCGAATTTCAGAAATATTCAAGAAAGTAGAGGAAACTTTCAAAAAGAAAGGCTATAATAGGACACATATGCAACTTTTAGACAAATTTAAAGCAATGAAAAGTATGTAAACCAAAACCAACATTCTAATTATTACTATCTATTTACTGATAATGAGTTTTACTGTATTGTTGTGATTGTAGCTTTTATAGTATATTTGTTATTTTTTACATTTTTTACAACGATTTTGTTACAGAACGATTTAAAATTACAATTGGAGCTTTGTCAGTAAGTGGCGCAGGAACCAAAGATAAAGAAAAAAATTGTCCTTTTTTTGAAGAGTTAAATGAAATATTTGGCCATCGACCAATTGTAAATCAAAGGGAGCTTTGTCAGTAAGTGGCGCAGGAACCAAAGATAACGAAAAAAATTGTCCTTTTTTTGAAGAGTTAAAGGAAATATTTGGCCGTCGACCAATTGTAAATCAAAGTGGTGTAGATTCTACCATATTGCAGCCTTCGTCGACTTTAGAGCCAAGTACAATTTTTGAATGTTTAAATTTATATTTAACTACGGCATTGCTACATCAAGAGGTTAGAGGATTTACCGATTATCGCCGTGTTATGATTCATTTAGGCTTGCCGCGTCTACTGTTTTAGCTGTAGATTTATCGTTTTATTTTTATTTAATTATTATAAGTACTGCCAGACAAGGTTTACGGTAGATCCGGCAAGTTTGGATCCATTGCTAATACACTTCTTGAACCTTGCCGTTGACTTCATCAAGGCAAGGAATGCACTGATACTGTATTAGTGCGCTTCTCGCTCTAATAAAGTGAATAGCAAAGTTAACGAAACATTGGCGTTAGCAATGAATCATAACACGATTATAACTCGCAAACCTTCTGAAATCTTAATATAACTATATCAAATTGATATTATAAATATTTTATGTACTAACACAAAAATATCACAAATATAAAATTGATTAATATGTAATAATGTATTCTTCAGGTACTGAGACCTCTGGTTATTGTGCAAGAGATACTGAAACATCTGTATCAAAAAAGTATGATGAATCACAGACAAAATTCATTGAACATACTAGTCGTTCTACTCCAACGCCATTGACTTCAATTGGTCACAAAAGAGCATGATCTTCTGATACGCGATATAGTCCACTTACGCCATCACCAATATCCAAGTTTTCTTTCTCAGAAGACAGCAGAGATACTTCAACGCCTCCCTTTAATGAACTTGATGGATCTAACCACCTATTTACAGTTTCTTCTAAAAAACGTAAAATATGCGAAACACCTACTCTCTTAAGTCGTGAAAGTCCGCGATCTGGCTTAAAAAATATCATGCACACTTTTACTAAAGAAATAATTGAATCGCAAGAAAAACTACTGACAAAAACTATTGAAGAGCAGCGCAAGCTTGATCAGGAAATGTTCAATCAGTATAATAATATCTTTTTACAACAAATACAAATGTTATTTGCGGGATTGCAAAACTTAAGTGTGCCCTTTCCTCAAAATTATTCGTCATTTCAGCCATTTTCTGCTATGCCACCAACAAGGCCAATGTTCACAGAAACTTTACACCAGTCATATCCTCAACAAATAGTTCCATGTCAAAATGATAAGAATACAGCTCCAAAATCAGATTAAACCGGAAAAGGGATTTCCACAATTACATCATCAAATTCCATTCAATAAAAAAACGAACAGCCACTTGCTGAAAATTCATCTACTTTGCTTCATACACTCACTATGTCACAAAGTAAAACATTTTGTCCTAAGTTTGAAGAAGATGAAGACATCATATATGAAGACGTACAATTTTTAGACGATGCTGAAAACGACTAAAATGATCAATAATACAAAAAAGTATATAATTGCTCAAAGATTACTTATAAAATATCTCCTTTTTGTATTAGGAATATATATATATATATAATATATATATGTTCATCTTTTTACATATTTTAATACATTACAATTCACATTTATTTTTCTCACATAAATTATTTTTGAAAATTTATACTCTACTAAAGGCTTCAGACGATATGATAATGTAATATATACGCTAGCTTTGTATACATTCACTAAATATTATTCTATGTTTGATATGGATAATTAGGTACGTTATATCTGTATGTATGATTGATAAATGTACGTTGGCCATATTGGCTGGAAGCGCTTTAATAGTTAATAATAGTGAAAGTTTTATATTAAAAAGATAAAAGTCTCTTACATATTATAAAACATTTTTTATTTTTATACGCAAATTAGTAATGTATATTATACAAAAATATATAATAAATGAATTTTACATTTTATCCTGAAATGTTACACTAGTCCACTTTTGTCATCACCAATATCCAAATATTTCTTAGAAGACAACAGACACTTCAACGCCTTCCTTTAATACGACTGAATTTGATAAATCTAACAAGCTATACACTTTTTCTTAAAAAAAAAAAAAAAAACAAAATATGCTAAACATCTACATTCTCAAGTTGTGAAGATCCACGATTTGGTTTAAAGAATATTATGCAAAACTTAACTAAAGAAATGATTGAATCGAAAAAAACTACTGATACAAACTATTGAAAAGTATTCATAATTATATATATAATACGCCATAATCGTTGTATTGATTTTTTTCGCCGATCTTGTAAAATAAGATATAATTTCTGCATATTACTTTGGTATTGAGAAATTAACAACAACGCTCTTGGATCCATTTTGTGATAGAAAACATAGGTTATGTACTATTGCAGCAGCTAACTTTCTACAGTTGGTTACGTTCAACCTTGCCGCAACCCTGCTGCAACCCTAGTGCAACTCTGCTCCGATGGAAACAGACAAGCCAACCTAAGAGTGAAATCACACGGTGCGTCATAGGGCTGCGGAATACGGAATGCGTCATTGAAGCAACCA